GTGCTGACGTATCCTAATTTACAGCTGTTGTTCTTCACCTGGCACTCCGTTTTATCATCTGGCAGCTGGAGAGGAACAGCAATTTCACTAAGCTCTGTGAACCCTCTCCCCCACACTCCCACCCACACAAGGTAGGATTAAAGCAGATCCTGCACCTACCTCTGGGCAGCGGCCTTGGCTCTGGTTCAGCGTCAGTATCACATTGGTCATGACAAAAACAGTGTTCTCACCCTGAACAAGCAAAACAAGAGGGCAACTTAAGAGTGACAGTCTGCAAAAAGCATCCAGAGCACCACACCAAATACCTTTGCTGACAGAGCCCAGGTGGCTCCGCAGAGGGGACCTGCCTTGGACAGTGCTGGCGCAGCACTAAAGGAGTAGATTCTCACATGGATTGTTTGATGCTGCTGTGTTTAGCCAGAGGAAGGACTGTGGGACTAGAAACTCTTTCTGTCCTCCCACTCAGACCAAATTTTTTCATTCCCATTATGAAAACAGATCACACAGCTCCTCAGGGGAGTTGCAAGGCAGGAGCAGAAATAGAGCTCCAGCTGCAAGTCCAAGGACAACTCCCACTCTTTCTTTTTGCAATATATCAATTAGAAATTTTGACCAGTCCTGGTTTATTTCTTCAGGGAGCACCATTTTTGTTACTTTACTTTCATTACTTTCAGGTCTGTACAATCTGTTGTCTGCTTCTGCTCCACTGATATGCAAATACCAACATTCAGCCAAAATCTGGCTAAATCTGTCTTTTTTGCTGCATCACATGTCATGCAGACAGAGGGACCCACAACCAGCAGCTTGCCTGTGCCTGCCCATCCCAAAGGCCACCACATATATGGCCCACAGAGTGCAGATTTCCACAGACACAGTCAATCAGTAACTACGGCAGGGCTTCCTGTTCAGTTCCGGATCAAGTGTCTCGCAGGCTGTTCCTGGTGTTTCTGCCAACAAGCTAACTTGGGTCTCTTTGCTTTAGAGCAGTAAGATATGTGGTTATTGCTGAGCAGTAAGAACATGTGGTTATTATTGTTGAGCAGTAAGAACATGTGGCTATTATTGCAGCTTTTTCCTGAAGCCTGCAAAGTTCTTCATCCTCTGCACTGCTGATTCCAGCTCTGGGACCACCAGAGTGAGTCCAGAAGAGGCCACAAAGATGCTTCAAGGGCTGGAATAACTCTGCTATGGAGACAGGCCGAGAGAATTGGGGTTGTTCAGCCTGGAGAAGAAAAGGTTCCAAGGAGACCTTAGAGCCCCTTCCAGTACTTAAAGGGGGCTTATAAAAAGGAGGGAGAGGGCATTTTACATGGGCAGGTAGTGCAAGGACAAGGGAGAACAGTTTTAAAATAAAAGAGGAGAGATTCAGAAGAAATTCTTCCCTGTGAGGGTGGTGAGGCCCTGGCACAGGTTACCCAGAGAAGCTGTGGCTGCCTCATCCCTGGAAGTGTTCAGGGCCAGGGTGGATAGGGCTTGAAGCAACCTGGGATAGTGGAAGGTGTCCCTGCCCATGGCAGGGGGTTGGAACTAGATTATCTTTAAGGTCCCTTCCAACCCAAACCATTCTGTAATTCTACACAAGCACACACACACATACACTTTTCTTTAGAGGGCTCATGGTGCAGGTGCTCAGCATGATCTGTAACAAAGCACAGCTGCTTCATTCTCTCATATCAAGGCCATGCTGGAGCTGAAGCTGCCCTGCCCTCAGTGGACTTTAGCAAAGCAGTAGCTGATTGCTATAAAACCTTCCCTCTCCGTGTGAAAGTGACTGATACCTGAGGGGGAATGACATAGTCGGCTACATCCCAGATCCTGGCTCCCAGGGTGGATGTGTTTGTCAGCGTTACTCCTTTCACCTTCGTGGTTACAGAACTGACCACATCGTCTGTTTCCTGGTAGCCCTTCTGCCACAGAAAGACCCACCTGCAAGAAACAACAGATTAAACACTATGAACAAGCATAGATGGTCGGAATTTCTCCTTTTCCCATAAGTCTCCTGAAAGGGCCAGTCTAGACAGTTTCACAGCGTTTCCCTACAAAAGGGTCACAGGACAGACAATCTCCCTTGCGGTTTTTTGGGGGTATTTTTTATTTTCAGAGTGGTCTGCAGGGTGTAGTTTGCTTTTACGCCCAGCCCCACTGGGTGAGTGACAATCACCCCCCTGGGGACGGTCCCTCTCCCGAGGGGTCCTGTCCTGTTCGCAGCCCCACAACCCCAGTGAAGTCTGCCCATTAAGCGGTGCCACCACCTCCGTGTCACCCTTGGGCGAGCTCCGGGCTCCCGGTTCCCCTCAGCCCCAGGGGCTCCCAGCGCCTCTTCCCTCCCGGCGGCCGCCCCGGGACCCCCGCACTGCCCCCGCCCGCTCACCCGATCACGTATGCGAGGATGGCGAGCTGCACCGCGCGGTTGATGAGCCCCACTTTGCGGCTGCGGATCAGCACGATGCGGGGGGTGTCGTACTCGAAGAGGAAGCTGTGGAGAGCCCCGCACGACGCCATGGCGGTGGCCGGGAAGGGCGGGAGGCCGGGAAGGGCGGGCAGGAGGGACGGAGCCCTCACGGGCCCCGCGGTGCCACAGCGCCCCGAGCCGCCCGCAGGGCGCTCCCGCAGCCCCGGGGCCGCCACCGCGATCGCTGTGGGAGGCCAGCGGCGGCAGGGGCTGCCCGGGGCTGTTTGCACAGAATCACAGAATCCGTTCGGTTGGAAAAGACCTCTGAGATCATCCAGACCAACCGGTGACCCAACACCATCGCGTCAACAATAAGTGCCACGTCCAGTCTTTCCCTAAACACCTCCAGGGACGGCGACTCCACCACCTCACTGGGCAGCCCGTTCCAGCGTCTAATCACCCTTGCCGTGAAGAAATTCTTCCTGATGTCCAATCTAAACTCCCTTGGTGCAGTTTAAGACCATGTCCCTCTTGTCCTGTTGCTTGTTATTTAGAAGAACCCGACCCCCATCTGGCTACAACCTCCTGTCAGCGAGAAGGTCCTCCCTGAGCCTCCTTTTCTCCAGGCTGAGCCTCCTCAGCTACTCCTCATCAGACTTTTGCTCCCGACCCTTCCCCAGCTCCATTGCCCTTCTCTGGACTCCCTCCAGCACCTCAGTGTCCTTTCTGAACTGAGGGACCCAGAACTCAACACGGTTTTGGCAGGAACAGGGATCCCCCAACACCAACTCGTATCTTGCATCCAGCTCAGGGCAAGGCCAAGCACCTGCCCTCCAAAAGAGAGCAGAGCATATTGAAGACCATCACGCTCCCATCCACAAGGAGCAAATCCTTTATTTATCCTCTTGCAGAATCAAACTTTACTATTAAAGCAGGGATCTGCCACCTAATTCAGGCACCTTCCACCCGGTGCTGAGATACCCAACACAGTGCTTGTATTAGAAACACCACCATAACCCTCATAAGAACGAGTAAATCATTAGGAAGAGATGACAAAGTGGCAGTGGGAATTTCACAGGGTACAAAACAATTAAAGAGCTTTAGGTAACCTATATATTAGTAAAATGCTTTATTTTTTATAAAAACAGTCAAAACTGAAAGGACCAAGAAAAGTGGGGAGAGGGTAAGGAAGAACTTTTGTGCAAATGTGAAAGATCAAAATCACAGTCTTGGGTGAATATTCAGTGTAATTACTTTCAAAAAGAGAATTGGTTCACATGCTAGAACAGAAATGCATTAATGCCTATGGTAATATTTTCCCACTCTAGATATGTAAGATGCTGCAATATGAATGTTAACACAATTAATGAAGATATAAATACAGCTGGCATAATCTGCCAGCAATGTATCTTCAAATACATGTGGGAAATGGAAATGACAAACTGCTGGGCTAGCTCAGAGAGAACAAAGCTTCGTTGAAAGGAGTGCAGAACATACCTGTTACAATCCTCCTCACCTTGGTTCTACAAAAATAGAGCATGCCTAAATATAACAAAAATAGAGAATGGAAAAGGTGTTGGAGCACAGATTAATCTACCCTGAATTCGCTGCTCCTCAGCTGTACTCTGACCTTACATACCATATCACAGAGCTATTCTCATAAGTTCAGGGGGGGGAGGTGTAGGAAGCAAGGCCTGCTTGAAGATAAGAGCAAACAGTCCAACATTACAATTGCAATAAGCGTGAATGAAATGCCCAAAAATATTACAGAAAGATGGTAAAAGTACTAATCCCTGAGTTCAGGCTAAAAAGAACAATACAAAGAGAAGAGCTGGGCTTTTCAGAAAATGCTTTGTCTGTGTCACTGGAACCATCTAAAATGAGTGTGTTTAATCTGGCCAGACCATGAGACCTTCAGTGACAAGTTATGGAACTTGTTCTGTGGCCTCTTTCTAGAGCCTCTTGATCCAGGGCTGCAGAAAGCTGGGGAAGGTGGGGCAGAAAAATGCTCAGCACCACGTTTCCACCACCATTCCCTCTTCTGGGATTGCTTCATTCAGGGTCATGCTTTGAGGTGACTCTTCAGGGTGTGACCAGACAGCGCCAACTGCTGAAACCAGTGGGAGGTTGTGATGTGCTGCCCTTTTTTCCTTCAGCAAGAGCTGCTCATGACACTTCTGTGTTGGTTGGCATTTGCCATAACAGCACCACTTTTGGCAGCCTGGTGAAGAGGCCCCTTCTTTCTGGGTTGCCCCAGCTGATATTCTTCATAATCATGGTTCTTGTTGGGTTTGTGGTGCAGCAGCTGCCAGCATCACAAACTTTCACAGGGTGGCTCTGCAACAACAATTCCCAACATACATTAAAGAAAACAGCATTTGCTGCTTCATCCAACCACACAGAGAATTTTCAACAGGGATCCTCACCACTGGGGTTTTTTTGTTTGACACAGCACAATAGGGATAATGACGATAGATCAGCAGATCTGGAGGAGGATTGTCTTTCTGTGTTGCCATCACCCACCCGAGCGAAACCGAATCGACACCTCACGAGTTGCTGGAACACCGACGCACTCCTGCAGGCACACACCCACCACAGGGCAGCAGCAATTTTTAACTGACTCCAGAAAATCCATCCTCTGGTCACAGGACTTGTTACCTTGAAGTGGACAATAGGAATCTAGTTTTAGCCCCTCTGTATCTAATCTGGAAATACAGGTGGGTGGCAGAAACCCGGATTAGTTTGGGAGGACAAACACGGCATAGATCTTCCTCCTGCAGCCCTTTCAGCCTTCTGAAATGAAGGTGCTGAGCCCAGCTTGATGAAGGGAATTTGCCAGGCATCTGACCTGGCAATCTAAACTAAATTAACACACGTAGAGAGATTTAAACAAATTAATAGTCCAACTAATGTCCAATGAGTGTTTTGCTGTCTCTTTTCAAAATGGAACCCAAAGCTGTAGAAAGAAGCTCAATTAAAAGCAGATAGAAAACCCCGGCAAGGATATGTGGGGAGCTGGCAAATCAAGAGTGCCCATGCTCTGAAGGTTTTAATATCGTGTTATCCAGGACCAACTCTGAACTCCTGAGCACAACTCAGCATTTTCCATTCTTTGATCAGTAAAGAGTGACAAGAATCACAAGAGCCTGTCCTAACTTCCAGCTTCTTATTCTATCATAAACTTTCCTGATGCACAGCTCACATCGGCTTATGGATCAATAAGCAGTCACAGAGCATGGAACAAAGAAATCTTTTACATTTGACAATGAAAAGCTGGCAGTGCAGACAAAAATCATTACATTAAACTGAAAGACATCCTAAACCACACAATGGTATTAATATCCAACCTCTGATAACAACACACAGATGCCTTCTGTCTCAGAAGGACTAAAGTGCTTTATTATTCTTGACTGGTTTACTTGGGTGATCTCTAAGTCCTGTTCTCCTTAGTTTAGGTAAATAATCTGAATGGCAATTTGCTTAGCTGAAGAGACAGAAGGTCAGTTCCAAGGGTGGCAGATATTCATAGATCACTCTGTCACTGCTGTTCAAAATTTGTTCTATAGTTGGTTGCCTGTTCAAGTACTAAAAGAGGAAAGTGTTTAAGAGGATATATCTGGTTGGTGTAAAAGCCATCAGCTCAGCCCTCTGCTTGCTGCCATCTCCAGGTCCTCATTCAGATTAGAGAGATCTAAGGAAAAAAATCATTTTCCTTCTTTGGGTTCAGCCCCCATTGCTCTGCTTTGCCATCTCGATGCCAACAAACCAGCCCAAAGCAAGCTTTTAAATGGCTCCACTCTCTCCTGCACATCCCACTGCAAGCTAAGTTTGGCAGACTCCGAGTGCCTTTAATCAGAGTTCCGAGATCATGCGATCATTTGCTTCCCATTCACCACAATCTGATTTGTATGCTCTGAAGGCAGTGAGTCACTCAGAAAAACACACTGGGATGTGTTCTGCTTTCTCCTTGAAGCTTTGTGCTCAGAGTTTTCTTGATCTCCATCTACAACCTGGGTTACATGTGCTCAGTTTTTAAGTATAGGATCTTTTATGTTTGTAGCTTCCAGATCTATATGGCCCTAACTGGGATCTGGGGATCAAGAGGAATTCTTTACTCTTTGGATATTACCACCTCCAAAATTTTACCTGTAAAAATTTTAGTGTAAACTAAATACTTTCACTTCATGATTTGAATTGCACATTTGTTGTGCTATAATGATTTCACCCCAGTATAAACCAGCATAGCTGAATAGACAGTTCTGTTGTCCAGTGCATGAGAGAAAAAGTCATTCTGGGAGGCTCTGTTCCCAAGCTTTCCTTATTTCTCTTAGTTCCTGAAGGATTAATAAGGCTAAAATATTATTGAAACTTGCCATTTCTCTCTCAGGCAGACACAGGCCTGAATGCACAACCTTTTTGAGTAAAGAATGCCAGTTTACACTTTTTCTTTTTTCAGAGCATTACTACTCACTCTTCAGAGAGCACTGAGGAATGCTTGCACTTAGGTGGTGTAATTAAATTTGGGGAAGTGAACGTTGTTCTTTATTAGCATAGTGAAATCTTCAGAACTCCTCAGAGCAGCTGGCCTAAAACATCAAATTAACGAACTTCTTTGACTTAAATACATCAGTTAATGTTATGCTACTTTACTATTACCTGGAAAGCTGTCAGTGGGAGGAATATGTTGCTAAGATTAACACTGAAGTGCAGGGAGTTAGGTGGCTCAGGGGAGCAAGAAAGACATGGGTGGTTTTCTTAGTTTTAGGTATAAATCGTTCTCTCTTGCGCTTCTCTGTGTGGGCCAAGCCTAACCAGAGTCTGCACATACAGCTGAAATGGGAATTCAAGAGGCTTCTGATAGGAATCTTGCTGTAGAATAGTAGTAAGAATTTACACCATCTGGCAGCTGCTGGTTTCTGCCCCATGAATTGACAGTTTCACTGCTGTCCCCACAGACAGGTGACCATTTACACCAGATCTGCACAGGTAAGAGTGTGAGAATGAGCCACAGTCATAGGATGTTACCTGGACACCAAAGTCACTGATAAGTTTCAGTGTATAACAGTTCAGACATTAATAATGTAAGTTAGTGTTTAAAGAACTAAAAATGAATGAACCTGTAATGTGAAACTGTCCATCATTAATCCACTGGGAAGCATCTGGAATCTGATCCAAAACTCTTCTGAAAAAGGTATTGTGAACACCTGTCCTTCAGCCAGCTAATCCAATCCAAACCAGAGGAGCCTCCTTGCCAACATGGAATGGCTTTGTTCTGCTCCTGCCATAACCAAGGGGAAGGAAAAGGAGGCCTCTGGTAGAGACCTTTCAAAGGAATTTGGACAATAAAGACAATCATGGGTGTAACCAAAGCCCAACGTTTCTACCTCAGTATCTCAACCACATGGCAAAGCTTCCTGGCTCTGACCTTGGTCTCATGTATTGTTCTGGGAGAAAATAAACACCTTTGCTTTTTAGCGATTCCTCTGCTTTCTCCCTTGCCAACGGAACCTGGGAAGGAACTTTACAGATCAGAACCAAACCTCTCTTCCATTATTTTTGGTGCCTGGTAGTGACCGACTCCTGGCACTTTAGAGCAGGTTAGGAAACAAGACAGAATGTGTCAACTGGGAGATGTAATTAAAAGCAAAATTCCCTGTGTAGCATCCGCAGCGGAGCCCACGCAGTGTGACATTTCAGAATGACTGGCAGTCACTGAAACTTTATAAAAAAACCCCTAGGATTTCATTAACTCAGAAAGCTCATGCATATCTTTCCCGGATGCTGTATGAACAATTGCAGCCTTCCTGTTGTTGGACAAAGCCTTTTTCAGGTCATAACTCTGTCCACAGGAGAAGGGAATGGAAATTGCTTTAAAGTGCTGAAAAACCTCAGCAGAAGGAGCTGTAGGAGGCCTTGTGGGCTCTGGAGGGGGACCTGAAACTGGAAAAACTGCTCAGTGTCTGCAGAAAACCCAAAATTAAGGAGAAGATGAGACATATATACATAGAAACATATGTATCTTATATTTTAGATATGGTGCATACATGCTTGCATCTTTTAAAAGCAATGAATTAATAAAAGTCCTAAATGACCTAGTTTCTTACACATGTATTTCAAAGCCAGTTGAGAGGAGCTAAAATTCATTATCACTTGCTCTCTTAGAGTATAATTTCCATAATTTCAGTTGAAATCAAATATTTCATAATTATTTTTTTTTGATGCTTTGGGTGCTACAGACTAGAAATAGAACATTTTTGTGCCAGATATTGTAGGGTCATGGGCTTACAACACAAGATGAGGCCCTTCCACCCTACTCTCTGGGTCACAACAGCGTTGTTGCACGGAGTCTTTTTCTCAGAGTTTTCTTATCTCACTGTTTCAGATTGCCAGCACTGAGGTCCCCCCCATCTACCTGTAGAGGATGAAGTGACTGTTCTTGGGTCTGAGGTGGATCCCCAAACACCAGCCTGCCCCACTGGGAGGAGGGAGGAACCTCACTGTGATAAATGAACCCACAAAGAACCTCTACACCACAGAGCCCTCCCTCAGCCTTGCAGGAGAAAACCCCACGTTAGGGAACTTTTCTGATTTCAGTGCCTGATTAAGCCTCTCTTACGTCGATGCATTTTCCTTGACATTTGAATTAATGAGCCAAATGTCTCTGGTGAATTTGAGATGAGCCTGAGACACCTAAAAGTGTTTCTATGGCAGCTGCATGATGATACCAACTGGGGGCTATGACTTCACTGCAGAATCCCAGAGCAGGACAGGTTGGTACAAGTCAATTATTCAGGTATTATAACGAGTGTTTAACAGTATGGCTGTGAAGGAAAAAGCTGTTTTACATATAGGAGATCTATAAGTGCTTAGGCAAAGGGATCACGCTAAAATTTCACAACTTTGTCAAAGTAAATCCTTCCTTTGATGTAAAAAAATGCAAATATCTCATTCACTTTACTTAGTGAGGTTTTCCATGGATTCCACAGGGCCCCTCTGACCTCACTGGGTTTTAACAGTTGCATTATAATTCACACATCTTCCTGTTTGAATTCTTGTAAATAAACAAGCTCTTACTCATGAGTTTTTCACCAATTAGAGACAGTCTCAACCTGTCAGTGGATTCCTCCTCAAATGCAAGATAGGGAGCTTGACATTTCAGATTGTTGCAGCTTTCTATAGGAGGAAGCTGTAGAAAGAACTACCCAAACCATGGTCCTGCCACACCTCATCAAACCTTATTTAGCCCTTTGCCTGAGTCAACAGTGCTTGTCATTGTTTGGGCTGAGGGTGAAGTAATTTCCTTCACAGTTTTATATGAAATGTCATATCTGGGTCTGGTGATAGATTGAGAAACCCACAGTTTCTGCCCAGAACTTTAATTCAACAATGCGAGCAAATTAAACAAGGATATAAAAGGTGGACAGAAAACTGGAATTCTGAATAGGACTGACATTAAATGAAGACTTGCCTGCAGTGGGACAGTGTGTTCTGCTGTATCCCAGATCCCGCTGGTTGTGTGAGCCACTCCCTTCCTACTGGTGTGAACTGAACTGGTAACTTCATCCTCTCCCGTTAGAATCTGTAAGTGATGACTGTACAACTGGCCAGAGGGACAGATGAGCCCATAAAAATATAATGTGTCAGCTTCTTTGTATCAGTCTTGGATGAAATGCACTGCAAGATAAAAGTCAGATGAACATTTTCAGGTGTTTGAAAGAATTTCTGCAATTTGAAAGAATTAACTGCAGTAGGGCTTGATGTCATCCAAAAACCTTCACCCATTCAAACCACCACTGTGTTGCTGGGTACCTAGACTTTGACTTTTTCTGTCACCAGTGGTGGTGTCCTCTCCAGGTTGTTTTTCTCTAAAAGAGCTTAAAATACATAGTTGTTAACTTTTCAGAGTGACTATTTTTGTGCCTCATGCTGATTCCTTCAAAAACCTTGGCCTAACATTTTCACTTTCTCATGAATTGAATGTGTCAAGGAGGAAGGACAGCTCTGTTTTCAAGCTGACAGGAATGTCATCCAGCTCCTCTAACTCAAAAAAAAGCACTGTCAATTTTGAAAAACCATTGTATGCTCAGAGGGTACTTTCTACACTACACAAAAGTGATATAAAAGGTTTGCTTTGAAAAACAAGCCACAAGCGCTTGCACCACGTCAGGTTAACAACAGACTTTTCTGGAGGGTGATAAAATAGGATCTGAAGAACAGATAGAGAGCAAAACAGAAATACAAAGCAACTGCTCAATGCTCCTTTATTTATATCCTCTGTTGTAACAGCTTTTCAGCCTTTTCCTTTGGGAGAACAGTGCCTTGGGATAACGGTGTTGTTAGAAAGTGGCAGTGGGAACCCAGCTCTGAGCAGCAGTAGGTGGGTATGGAACCTTAGGAAGGCAACTTGAATTTCCTGCAGACATGATTCTTTGTGTGATTGGGATCAGTGTGCTCAATGTCCTGGCCTGCTGCCCTCCCAGGAGAATGAAACCAACTTCATGAACCTCGGCAGACTTTGTTCAACAAACACTTATCACTGAGAACAGCCCTCGCTTGGCAGCACAGAGGAAAGTTTGCCCTTTAGAGGCAATCAATTATTGCATATTCCTAAAACATCTTATTTTTCTTGGAATCTGCTGCAAGGGGTGACTTGCCACTTCATCTGACCTTGAACAGGGACTCTACAGAGCAGGCTCTAATCTCAGAAACACTGGTGTAAATCTGAGGTTAATCAGTGGAGTTATTTTGTATTTTTCACACAAGAAACAAAACCACGAGTGTTTTTTAGAGGACTCTTAGTTAACTCTGTCCAAGCAACCCCACCTTGTTAGATAACATCCTATGCCACTTTCCCACCTCAGAGTTCCCACAACCACACCTATCCTCCAGGATTGTCTAACACCAGATCAATGGTTGCTGCCATGGTACCTACCAGACACTGCCAGCCTGAAGAAACACTGGGAGTCAAGGCGAGGTGTGAGGCCACCATCTGACACTGTACACACAGGAGGAGGGGCTGCAAAGATGCAGAGCTGTCAAAGTGGGACCTGTAAATCTCAGGTTCAGAGTCTGAAAGACACAAGTTTGGGTCAGAATCCATTAGATTCAGGTTTAAAGGACCAGGGGCCTCTCTCTTGCAGCAGAAGACTCACATGAAGGCACAAAATACCCTACAAACCAGGTCTAATATTTTTCTTCCAATCCTTCAGTGTTTTAAATCACCTACAGCTGTAGTCATGACAAAACATTCAAAAGCAGAGAGGCTTTTTGGCTGTTGGTGTTGTCTTAAATGCTTCAGCTCACAGGAACAAGCTGCATTCTGCACAAAAAGGCTTCATTTTTGAGCCATCAGTGATCCCTCCTTAGGCTTTAGCTGACCACTGCACAGCTGCAAGTGGGCACCACAAACAGACCTGGGATGCATTTAGGTACCAAAATAACCACCAAGAAATTAACTTTAATATAACACAGCCAGACCTCTGTGTACATACACACAGCACAACGTTTATAATAAAAGAGACAAACAGGAGGGCTCAGATTGCATAAGCGAAGCAGAAGTGTTGCCTCCTCTTCATAAATGCTCTTGTTTTCCCATTAACATCTCCCATCTGTTTGGGGTCTGACCTCAGCAGCTCGGCCGGACGCGTTCATCTCTTTCCCACGATGTTCCCATATAAGGTGATCTCTCTGCCCCTGCAGCAGGATTTTCATTTGCTCAGGTTTCACCCCGCTCTGATTTGCTGGGCTCTGTGGTCGAGCTCTCCCTCAGCTCTGCTCTGCAGCTTCCACACAGCAGTGGCTGCAAAGGGAGGAGAAAGGCAGGAGGGAGCAACGAGGCAGGTCTGGAGAGCTCTGGGTGGTTCGTTTGCAGGCTCTGTTCTCTCTCTGCCACACGTTGCCTCTGTCAAGAGCAGCTTCCCAAAGCCTTTCCCAAGCAATAAAGACATGAACTCTGTCCAGAGAGCGGGGTGGAACTACAGGGCTGAATAGTTGTAATAGCTCTCATGTCATTAGAAAACTTTGCTTCAAAACCTGTATCACTCTCAGCACTAACTTGGGAATGGGGAAAATGACGACAGAATTAAAGAATTAATGCTGGAACACTGGCCCTCAATTCTGCAAGACTTTACACAGATGCCACATCCCCCAACTAAGATAACTTAAGACAAGTTAAGCATCAAACAAATATCTCAGCTGCTTCCTGTAATATTTACTCAAGGCTGCATTGGGAGCTTATAATCTCTTTTATGTCTGTGAAGATTCTCTTGTGATAAAGAGGTCAAGGCACTCAGTTAAGCCTTGAGTTTATTTTTTTTTAAGCAGTAATTTTGAATATTCAGACACCGCTACAGACTGTAAATATGAAGCAGAGGAGAGGCAGCCTGGGGGAGCAGATTGGCTCTTGGGGCTGCTCGTATGAGGAGCACAAAACTGTTGGAGGAAAGGACTGTGACCACCTAAAACTTAAGGGGTGACACAGGATCTGTCACACCTTCTGCAAGTTGGAAAATCCCACAAAATGGGGCTCCAATGTATGATTTTGCTCCTGCCGCAGTCACTTGAGCTTTCAAACAGGTCAACAAACTGGTTGTTGATCAGTCCACTTTTAGCTCAGCCAGCCCACTTTTAATGATCTCTGGTCATGGAGGTCTCCTTCCCCAGAGTCAAAACTCTCAGACTTATGGGTCTCCATCTCACATACTTTTTTTCTTCTTATTTTGGCATTTTCTAAAGCTTTTGTACATCCTTCCTCTTCTTTATCGGTTGCTTTTTTAACATTAGAGAGATATGAGAAGAGGGGAATAGTCCTTTCAGTGTGGGGACTGAAAGAATCTGATATAGAAGAGGCTCTCAGGGCAGCACCATCCCACTTTACCCAGCACAGACCCCTCTCCATCCTCAACGCCAGGGGCACAATCTCTCTGCCCTCTGAAGAAAGGCTGTGTAACAGTGTTTACAGAAACACTGTTTCTCCAGGATTAAGTGGTGGTGGACCCACAGGCAACACTCCCTACCAACTCAGTCTACACAGAGCAGGTTTGGCCCCAGTGCCTCCAGCAGAAATACCATTTTCATTTGCTCTCTCTGTGTCCTACATGCTCAAAATACTCACCATGTATGTAACTGATACCAGGAGAGCATGACAAAGGAAAGTAGATCTCTTCTGGGAAATTGTAGGTAAATACGATTCCTAAAGGTCAGTATATGGACTGACAGCACAAAGGAAACATGATCTAGTTTTAAAGTTCAAATCCAGGAGTCAGGAGACCTGGATTATGTTCCTGGCTCTACCACAGCTTTCACAAACAACCACAAGTCACCCGTCCATCCCCTTTGTGATTGTTTAACCAGTTAAAAGCCTGGGCACCATTGTAATGTCACTGCTCAGCCTTCCCGTGAAGAAGGGGATTACATTTGATTAAATAATTTTATGAAGCGCTTTCTGTTTCTCAGAAGGAAAAAAAGAGCTCATCCAAGATAGTCGCAGTGCTTAGAATTGCAAAGTATTACAGTTATGCTACTTACTGAGTCAAATCCTGCAGTGATTTACAACCTGTGCATTTCAACTGGCACCAATTTAAATGACTCACTGTATATTTTAATCCATCATCTGGGGACTCACATGGGATTCTGAGACTATCCAAGAACTCAATTGCAACAGCAGAGAGGCTCCAAAACCCACCTGTTTCAGGTCTAAGCACAGCTTTTGAAGGAGGGGATTTTTGAAGGATCTGCAAGAAAAATCTTGCAGATCGAGAGATTTCATGGACAAGTTTCTCTTTAATATATAGTCTGGTTTGGATTGTTTGGTGTTTTTGGAGCTGCTGTCCCTGTTTCAGGTTTATGCCCTACATATTTACGGGTACTCCGAGGCTGAAAACTGATGTCCGACCCCGAGGACACACATTTGCCATCTGCCCCAGGGTGAAGCACAGGCCCGCCGTTCCCGTTCCACACGGATCCTCTGCGCATCTTTCCATCTCAAAGGAATGAAGGAACGTTCACCTGACACCCACACCAAGCCCCTTTGCGTTGTCAGAGCCTGCCAGAAACCTTAACTGGGTAACTGCAGCAATCTGTGCATCTCCCACACGCGCCGCAACCACCACCCCCGGGAGGAGCCGCAGAGCCAAGTTTATCCTGCGGAGGGTGAAATCTCGGACCCGTTCCTGCCGCTCCTCGCACCTGTGCCGTGGCGGAGCCGCAGGGCAGCTTTGCCCGGTGCCGTGTCCGCCCCAGAGCGCCCACAGCGACCTCGGCCGCGGCCCCTGGACGGGACTGAGCGGGAAGGGCTGCTCGGGGCACACCGCGAGGGCTTCCTCGGGCTGCGGCGGCTGCGAGGACAGCGAAACACGCGAGGAGCGGGCGGGAGAGCCCGGGTGGGACCGCCGGGTGCCGGTCCGGCCCCGACACACCCACACCCGCCCCGCCCGTGACCGCACCCCGGAGACGCCCCCATAGACAGAGCGCTCCCCTCACGGCATGGCCACGCCCACGGCTCAGTCTGACCACGCCTCTCACAATCAAACCACGCCCATCCAATGTCAGATCCCTCTCACACAGAGCTTAGCCCCGCCTATCGCTGTCTGACCACGCCCCCTCAACATCAGACCCCGCCCCTCCCCCCGCCCGGCGCGCTCCCGGTTCCCGCCGCTCTGCCGTGGCATCGGAAGTGACGTCACGCCGTATCCCGGCAACCGCCCCCGCCGTGCCGGGAGGCTTCTCCGGGGCCTCCTCGCGGGGCCCGGCCCGGACTCCCGGCCCGGACCCCACCGCCCCAGCACCCGCCGTGTGCCCCCCGGGACACCGCCATGGGTGACCAAATGCAGTTCATTGTCGAGAAGCTCAATCAGGAGCCCTTCAGGAAGAACTACAACTTAATCTGGTTTGACTCCCTGGAGTCGGTGCAGCTGCTGCAGCTGCTCAATGATGTTCTGGGCGAGATTGATCCGAAGGTAAGGGGGGCGCTCAGAGCAGCCCACACCTCCTGCAGTGGGTTTGGCACCGAAATGTGCTTTTCTTTAGGTCTGGCTCAGTGTGATCCCGCGGCGTGCTTGGCTTTTCAAAATAGCTCGTATGGATCTTCCTGGGAATAAATGTGACTGGCAGGAATCCTTCCCGTCAATACATCTGAGTGTATAAAAGCGTTTGTAAAGCAGCAGATGTTCCTTGGGGCAGGCACTGGATCCCTGTCCCCAGAGACTGATCACTGGATGTTTTATCCTGTGAAATTCAGGATGCAGATGTTGGTTCGTGCGAAGAACCTTCACGCTCTTAGGGCAAGGTCAGGCTGTGCCCTGCACACACACACATGTCCACACATCTGGGGCACGAGTACCTGTGCCTTGGAGTGCCAGGATGGCAAAATTCCTTCTTGGATGTGCTCAATGTGCCTGCACAGATAATTCCTGTGAGCAGGGAGAACGGCAATTTAGCATGAATTAACCCAAACCCTCATGTTGGAGAAAATCCAGTAGAAAAGAATTGAAGTTTGGTGATAAAAGGGGTGTTCTGTGCATCTCACTATCATTTGATAAAGTAATAAAGTCAATTCTTTTAGTGTGTTGCCAGTTAATTGATACCACTTGGACAAAGAAGTATATAATAATTCTAATTAGTTATAGTTAACAATATAATAGTTAACAATTACTTATAAAAGAAGTAATTTCATAATTACAATATTTAGTAATATTATAATATAATAATTATTATTACCTATAAATCATTAACTAATTTTTACAAACTGTTTAGCATGCTGTTGACATTAGAGAGGAGCTGCCAGAACAAACAGCTAAAAGAATGCTGAGCCTCCTTGGAATTCTCAAATACAAACCTCCAGGGAGTGTGTCAGACCTGTGAGTATCCTTTTACCTGCAAACCACGTTAAAACATCGCTTGCTGCTCATGTGGTAGCGACCTTTAAATTCAGATGAGAGCTGTTCCCATGTCCCTTTGGAGGTTGGGACAGGATCCTGGGTGCAGTCTCACGTGTTGGGATGGAATCCCAGATGTGGTCTCACAGATTGGAATGGGATCCCAGGTGCAGTCCCAGAGCTGTTCCTGTGTCCCTGTGGATGCTGGACGGGATCCCAGGTGCGGTGGCACAGGTTGGGATGGGATCCCAGGTGCGGTGGCACAGGCTGGGATGGGATCCCAGGTGCGGTGGCACAGGCTGGGATGGGATCCCAGGTGCGGTGGCACACCTGGGCAGGTGCAGTGGCGGGCGCTACCGGCAGAGGGCACTGCCCGCCCGGCAGGGTCTGCCCGGCCCGGCCCGGCCGGTCCTCGCCGCGCCCGGGGCGGGAGCGACTCACCTGCGCCAGGTGACCCCCAAATCCCGAGCCCCGCCCACCCTGCCGGCATTCCCCGAGGATGCCGCAGGGAACCTGGAGTTGTCCCTCCCGGCTTTATCCTTTTAGTGGGTTGTGGGGTTTTTATCTGCCTCAAGGGAGCAGAATGGGGATTCTAAGTTGCAAACTGCTATCATAGAATCCCAGAGTGGTTTGGATTGGGAGGGATCTTAAAAACCATAAAACCATCCAGTCCAACCCTCTGCCATGGGCAGGGACACCTCCCACTCGACTAGGTTGCTCCAAGCTCCATCCAGCCTGGGCTTGAACACTCCAGGGATGGGGCAGGCACAGCTTCTCTGGGCAACCTTCTCTGAGCCTCACCACCCTCACAGGGAAGAATTTCTCCCCAGTATCCCATCTAACCTTACTCTCTGTCAGTGGGAAGAGAATTCCCCTTTGTCCTGTCACTCCAGGCCCTCGTAAATGGTCTCTCTCCATCTTTCCTGTCATCTCCTTCAGATCCTGGAAGAGACAATTAGCTCACACAATTAGCTCACCCCGGACCCTTCTCTCCTCCAGGCTGAGCAATCCCAACCCTCTCAGCCTCATCATGAGCATTTTCTCTTTTAACAGTATTAAGAACATCATTAGTCAAGTGGGGAAGGAACACCAAAACATTGCAAATTTTTTGTTCCAAGCCAGCATTCCTTACCCTGAGATTTACTGGTGCTCTCTCTGTCCTTGTCATACAGAAGTGCTTTTCGCCAGGGGTTGATCACTGGGAGCAAACCTGTCATTCATCCTCTCTTACACTGGCTTCTGCAGAGGACCAGTGAGCTCAAGAAAAGAGCTTACCTGGCCCGTTTCTTGGTGAAACTGGAAGTGCCAGCAGAGTTTCTCCAGGATGATACCGTGGCTGACATCAACAAACAGGTACCGTTCGTCACGAGCGCCAACGCATTACGTGAGTTAAAGTGCTGGTGGGAGGAGGGATGAAGGAATCAGGGAGTTAATGTTTATGTTAAGGGCGTGTTGGCATCAAGGATGAGCAAAGAATCCTAATAAGAAATAGATGTCTTGACCACTTCCCTTCCAATAACCCTGAATTTGGATATTAATAGGCAGTATTGAATTAAAAGGCTTTCAGCCCATTAAGTACTGGGTGCCAAATCACGTCCAGAGCCATGTTCCATTTATTTTTTAACATCTTTTTTCCTGTGAACTATGACATTTAAGTTTTTAACTGCAAATTACCACTTCAAAGCAGTCCAAAAAATGTTATCACCAAAAGCCAATGTCTCCTAATTGTCAATTGGTTGTATTTAGTAGTCATGATTGTCAATTGATAGTATCTGATGCCTAATATTTGTATTAGCCTTATTCCACTTTTGCTTCAACCGTTTATTTTTTGGTGAATAAGGAAAAGATTTCTTTTTTTCTGTGCTGACATTCCTACTTATTATGTTCCCACTTCTTTTGTGAGCATTGAATGTTGATTTTAGATAGTCAGACTGGGTGGGTTTGAATTGTAAAACTTCAAGTGAACCAAAGTTATGGGTTTATATCTGTATTACCTGAAGTATATATTTTTTTACTTTTTCTTTTTTTAATCCAGTTTTCTATGCCTTTTGTTTTGTAAAAAACACTGTGGGTTTTAGTGTTTGTAACAGGTAACTTGATTTATTAACTGTGCACCAGCAAAGCTGAACGGTCTGACTGAAGCTTGACCAAGCCTTTTATTTTTTTGTTACCTCTAACAATATTGGATTTATAACTCGGGATAACTCAGCAGATGTAGTAAAAAGAGAAAGGAATGCAGATGGTATGTTTTTTCAGTATGTCACGGTCTTAATATGTATAAATATCCACCTCCATAATTTCCATTACGTAAGATGTGTTCCTTTTTGGGATTACAGTAATAGAACCATCTTATTAAACTAATACCCTGCTGATTAATTCAAAACAGAAGCTGGGGTAACAGAATGCCTTGCTGCAGTTTAGCATGACAATGCAAATATTTAGATACTAATGCATTAAAGAACTTAGCCTAAATGATTTAGATACAGGCTTGCAGTGGTGTCTTTTAAGAGAAATTTCAAATAAAATTTTAAAAATGAGCAACTTGAGGCGTTAATTCAGTTGTCCAGTCTTCAGTGAGTTGCTCCCAGCTGCCAGGAATCTTCCTTTCCATATAGGAACCTGGGTGTTCTTTGGTCATTTGAGTGTGTCTTGTATTCCAGGTGCAGGTGGGGGTACCCACAGTGAAAAGTGAGAGCTTTCCCCTCGTTCTGATCCATCAAACTGTGCTCTGCCCTTGTTTGAGTCCTGCCATTGGTCTTGAAATTTTGTGTCCATTAAGGAAAAGATTTCCTAAACTTCCCTTCTGACAGAGGTAGAGACACACAAAGGAAAGCTGTTGGACAGCAGAAGTGGGGAAAGCACTTACTCAGGGACCACCTGGTAGTTCATTTTTGTTCAAGGACTTCCACGGTGCATTAGTGGCATCGTGGAAACCATCTGGGTTTTCCACTCCTAACTTGTTCCTCCTTGTCCAGCCTGTGCATTCCTTATCACACCTTTATTTGCCATTCAGTCCAGCTCTTTCTCTGTGGTTTTATCTTCTTCTCAGTAGCCATTTTGTTGCTACTTTTTTTTGAATTCATTCCAGCTTGTCAGTCTGTGCTTGAAACTGCAACAACCAGACCCGAGCAGAGCGCTCTGGATGCTGGTTCCCCAGGGTTTTACAGAATGGAATTGCTGCTTCACTGCTCAGGGCTTTGATGCCTTTGTTTGAACTGGCCTTTGCTGTTGCCATTTTGTGTTCGACTTTCATATCAACTGCTCTTTCCAGGAAGTTTAAAAAAAAAAAAAAAAAAAAAAAAAAAAAAAAAAAAAAAAAAGTGACTCGATATTCTCCTTTTAGATGTTTCCATCTCATTGAATGGCTGTTTCTGTGGAGATTATCTTCCCTTCTACCCTCAGCTTGCATTTCT